ATGTTATGTTTATTTTTGCATAGTTAACGAATTTGGGATACCTGAAATTTTTGGTTTAAATTAAAATGTAAACCGAAAAACCGAAAAACCGAACCGAACCGAACCGTTCGGAGCTTTAATTAATACCATTAATAATCATTCATACAAGTCAACAGAAAAAATTCCTTATAGTTTTGATCTGATGGGAGTTGGTAACAATTCAACAATAACAACGCCAAGTATTTCAGTAAATAATAAAAAACAAAAATGGCAAAAGAAAAAAATGCCAAGTATTTCAGTAAATAAAAAAAATCAAAAATGGCAAAAGAAAAAAATGCCAAGTATTTCAGTAAATAAAAAAAATCAAAAAGGGCAAAAGAAATGTGATAAATTTAGCTTAAAACCTTTACCACCCATCATTAAGAATCTTGGAAATGAAAGCAGTAAAATTAATAATAATAATAATAATATTGCAATTGGTGATAATAGCAGTAGTAGTAGCAAAATAAACCAAAATTTACTAAATAATAATATTAATAATATACAAGATCTAAAAGAAATATCCAGTTGTTTAGGAGGCCCTATTCACAATTTAATTACTGCAATTACTATTTTTAAAAACAACCCTCAAATGAATGTTGCTGAATTAGCTCGTAAATGTAATACATTAACTATATCCAAATTAATGAATGAAACAAATTCAAACAATTATAAAGAGGAAATCACTAAAAGATTTCTTGAGGATGGTTATGATGATATAGAGGAATCTTTGAAACCTTGGATTCTTGACTTGTAAAAAAAATATTATTCAGGTATTTTTATTACAATGATAAAGTTTTTTTCAATAAAATGAATTGATTTCTATCTGCCATTAATTAACCTTGTGCAAGACTAATAAATTATTTGATATACTTTTTTTTTAATTTAATTATTTCAAAAGTTAGCTTTTTTGTGACGAACAATTGGAGCAGAAATAATAATAAAATTTTTAATTTTATAATAGTAGATAGTAAAAGTTTGTTTTTCTCTGTTCATATGGAAGCAGTACAATCATATTACTTTTCTGCTTGTCTCAAATTTGATCATATAATGCAAAAATATTGTAGCACGAAAATTAGCAGTTCTGAGCATAACTATCAAATTAAAAAAATCCATGAAAATCCAATTTATGAGTGAACAAAATTTAATGTGTAAATATAATATACACAAGAGTTTATTCCTATATTACGACTACTACTACCACTGCTACTTCTACTGCCACTACCGCTTTTAATGTGCCATTATTACATCTGATGCCATTAAATTAGGGGAAAGTTAAATCTTTCAAAGAAATTTGCATAAATGTTCTATTTACGAATTGATTATAAAGTAACATTAATATTAATATTAATATATAATAATATATAATTCAAATTTTTGAGCCGCCGATCTACATATAAATTGACACGTGATTCCCCCTACCCTTAAAGATTATTTCATCAATTATTTTGTAAATCCATTTTCAGCATGTATCCAATCATTTGGTTAAAATAAAAATAGAATATTGTTAGAAGGTTATTTCAAAAAAAAACTTGTAAAGCTAAAAATATTTTGCTAATCACTAATTAAAAACTTGCTAAAATATATATTTATTTATATTTATATTTATTTATATTTATATTTATTTTATATTTATATTTTATATATATTAACATTTTTGTTTTTATTTTTATTTTTATTTTTATTAATATATACTCCTTTCCAATGAGTTCACAGGGTAAATGGTATCAAGCTCTTTGCAACAATAATCTTAAATATACATCATTGAAGCGTTCCAATAGGACTTGGCTAGTTAAGAAAAAAAAGGAAAATAGAGCTTGATAGTTACCACAGGAACACTTGTAAATGGAATCATTCCAACTTCAGTGATAACAGTTGTTATGTATTTTGAAGGCATCAAATCATATAAGATGTTTAATAATTTTAAATCTATATATGGTTGAACACAACATGACCCATTTATCTTGATATGTAGACTTATCGTCTGGCTCTTGTTAACTGATGTTTTTTCTTTTAACACAGGATTTGAAGTGAATACACTCACCTCCCAAAAGTCATGGACCACTTTTTTGAAAACCAATTAAAATTTTATCAATTTATTAACTACATGTGAAATTTTTACAGTATATTCCTGAATCATTTGTTTATGTTTGTTATGATTTTCATCGCTGAATAAAGAGTTACATGGAAGTTTTGTTATTGTGTTTGTTTTGAACTGTTAAAATTTTGATCGTCACATTTTTTTAAATGGAAGTTGATAATTTAAACTCAAAAAGGAAAGAATTAAATGAAGAAACCCGTGGTCAAATTGTTGGTATGTCCAGAGCTGGTAGTAGCGAGAGAGAAATTAGTAAAGTTCTTGGAATACCAAAGTCTACAGTCCATAATATTTTGGTGCACTTTAGAGTCACACATACAACAAGTTCTGCACCTTGATCTGGAAGTCCAAATTTAATTGGTGAAGAAAAAGAACGAGTTATAAATAGAATTGTTAATAAGAAACCCCGCTGAAATACAGCAAAACTTTGAAAAAAAAACTAATACCAAAGCATCACAGAAGACAATCCGTAGGTCCTTACATAATCTTGGTTTTTTTTCTTGTATTCCAGCACAAAAACCTTTATTAACTGATGTACAAATGGAGAATTGACTTAATTGGTGTTTGGAGAAGCAATCATGGTCTATTAGAAAGTGGGGAAATGTTATTTGGTCAGATGAATCTAGG